ATTCTATTCTCTATTCTTCATTCCAATATCTATTCTATTCTATATTTCAATATTTATTCCATTCTTCATTTCAATATTCTATTCTATTCTTCATTTCAATATTTATTCTATTCTATTCTCTATTCTTCATTCCAATATCTATTCTATTCTATATTTCAATATTCTATTTTATTCTTCATTTCAATATTCTATTCTATTCTTCATTTCAATATTTATTCTATTCTATTCTCTATTCTTCATTCCAATATCTATTCTATTCTATATTTCAATATTCTATTTTATTCTTCATTTCAATATTCTATTCTATTCTTCATTCCAATATCTATTCTACTCTCTATTCTTCATTCCAATATCTATTTATTCTATTCTATATTTTCTATTCTTCATTCCAATATCTTATCTAATCTATTCTCTGTTCTCTATTCTTCATTCCAATATCTATTCTATTCTATTCTCTATTCTTCATTCCAATATCTATTCTATTCTATATTTCAATATTCTATTTTATTCTTCATTTCAATATTCTATTCTATTCTTCATTCCAATATCTATTCTACTCTCTATTCTTCATTCCAATATCTATTTATTCTATTCTATATTTTCTATTCTTCATTCCAATATCTTATCTAATCTATTCTCTGTTCTCTATTCTTCATTCCAATATCTATTCTATTCTATTCTCTATTCTTCATTCCAATATCTCTATTTTATTCTATTCTATTCTCTCTTCTGCATTCCAATATCTTATCTAATCTATTCTCTGTTCTCTATTCTTCATTCCAATATCTATTCTATTCTATTCTCTATTCTTCATTCCAATATCTCTATTTTATTCTATTCTATTCTCTCTTCTGCATTCCAATATCTTATCTAATCTATTCTCTGTTCTCTATTCTTCATTCCAATATCTATTCTATTCTACTCTATTCTATTCTATTCTCTACTCTTCATTCCAATATCTAATCTATTCTATTCTATTCTCAACCTTGGCAACTTTAAACTCTGTTGGCTTCCATGCTTAACCCATTGAGAAACCCAGGTATAGCAGACTGAGGCCAGTTTTTCTAGTCTTTGAATGTGGGTCAGTCCCTTGTGGAACATTTTGTTCCTCAACATGGTTTCTGCCACGGTACTGAACTTAGTTCTGTCCCTTATAAGCAACGGTGGAGTAACATTGGTGAAATTCACAATGCGCAAATCGGTTGAGGGTTGCCCAAAACAGGCAGTCCTCGACTTACTCGCCATTCGTTTACTGGCCATTCGAAGTTACAAGGGCACCGAAAAAAGTGACTTACGACTGGTCCTCGCACTTAGGACTATTCCAGCATTCCCCTAGTGATGCAATCAAAATTCAGGTACTTGGAAACTGGCCTGTTTTTCTGAGGGTTGGGGTGATTTGCTTAACCATGGCAGAAATGATGGTAAAATCAGGCACGACGCCTTTAACAACCATCTTGGGTGGGAGAGGAAATTCTAGTTATGGTCATAAGTTGAGGATCCCCTGTAGGCCATTTTTTTGTAGCTGGTGGAGACCTCAGCCAAATGAAGTGAAAATATTACGATTTCTAACATCTGCTTCTAACGATCTGGTTCTTTCCACAGCGTTTCCACAAACCCCATCATGTATGGAAGATCCCAACTCCGTTTGCCAGCCATGCTTTCCACCCCCTGGACGGTTTCAGTCAGAGCATCCCTTATCATATCTACCCGTTCCTTTTTCCTCTTCACAAAGTGACCTATTTGGTCCTTTACATCTTCGTCAACGTCTGGACAATCTCCATTCACGACGGGAACTATTGCGTTCCCGGTCCGCTGAAATCCATCATCAACGGATCCGCCCATCACACGGACCACCACTTGTACTTCAATTACAATTACGGCCAGTACTTCACCCTCTGGGATAGAATCGGGGGCTCCTACAAAAACCCCTCTTCTTTTGAAGGTCAGGGCCCCCACGCATATTTGGAAAAGCTGGCGAACGGCCAGGAGGATAAGAAACTCCCAGGAGCGAAAAATAAATAGCAAGCCCTCCCAACGGAAGGATGAGGAACCTCTATGCCTTATCAACTGCGTAGCTGGAAGTCGACCCCCCCGTCTCCATCCATTAGCTTCCAAAATGGAAATATTTGGCACCTAACATTCCAGGATGAGAAGACAGAATATGTGGATTCACAGCAGAGCGGTCTCTTGGATGTTGAGCAAGAGAATAGCGTCCATGAATTTCCCCGTGGCCACTAGAATGAATCAGGAAGCGGTCAGGGCTGCTCTGAAGTCCATCCTTGGCAGATGTTTGAAAGCAACTTTCAGCAACACCTTGTAAGCTGTTGCTGTGTAGTCTGTCTACGAATGTCTACTGTTGCACCAGCGTGTTAAATAAGTGGGTTTGGTTTGAATTAATGGATTCCTTAATTGTTTCCATCCTAAAATACATATTGCAATGCACTTTAGTCCTGTCTTTACAGACTAATCGGTGGGAGGGATTTCTGAAGTCCTGAACCGAAGGGGACACCTTCGCAGCAATTAACAAAATGAGGTGATGTATGTCAGAGCATCAATATCCAAAGGGCGCCAAATTGCGACAGAACATGCAAAGCCCAGGTTTTCTAAACTTGGTCAAATTTAAGACATGTGGACTTCCAGTCCCCAAACTCCCCAGGCAGCAGACTGTTGGCAAGATTGAGAAATAGTGGTTTAGAGCAGTGGTCTCCAACCTTGGCAACTTTAAGACCTGTGGACTTCAACTCCGAGAGTTCCTCAGCCAGCAAAGCAGCAAACAGGCCACGCCCACCCTAACCCTTTGCAGAGTTAGGGTGGGTGTGGCCTGTGCGTGACGCATCCCGTCCGTAGGCCGCCAGTTTGACACTCCTGTTAAATCATTGCTTTCCTCTTCAACATGTGTTACTTCAAACACTAAAATCACCTTCTGTTTACTCTGGGGTGTAAATCCCATGTTTACTCTGACAAACAAACCTTTTATCAGAGTAAATATGATTGCTTTGATTAAAAAAAATGCGAATAATTCAGGAGATAATGTGAAAAAAATTCTGATTTTTTTTTTCTGTATGTAGGATATCTTACCATTTCTTACTCCCCCCTCCCCCCCAAAAAATATTAGACAGTCTGTGGAAATTGTCTTTTCGTTAATAATGTTTTTAAAAGGTCAAAAGTTGTGAAATGTAATTATTGAGTGCCTGAAATCAGTGTTCGTAAATTTTAAAAAGTGAAGATGGTATATCTATATATGCGCATATTGTATAGTGGATTTATTTGGTTTATTGGTTCTGATGTTTTCTGGTGATAAAATCACTAAAATGATTTTTTTTTCTGTGGATAGATTTTAATAAAACGGGCAGAGTGCTGTACTCCAGGGGCGTCCAACTTTGACAACTTGAAGACTTGAGGACTTAACCGCCCAGAATTCCCCAGTCAGCAACTTTAAGACCGGTGGACTTCAATTCCCAGAATTCTGAAAGTTGAAGTCCACCGGTCTTAAAGTTGCCATGGTTAGACACCCCTAGTTAAAGGGGTGAAGGCATTCAGCTAGGGACTGGAAGAGTCCCGCTGTCAGCGTTCCAAATATCATCCAGAATTAAATCCGAGTTCAAGGCAGAGCTTTTCTCAAAGTTCCAATTTATTAAGAGAGAGAGAGAGAGAGAGACATGTTGGCACATCTGTGGAAACCCGAATCTAAAAGCTTCTGGGGCTTCCCACCTAGTTGAAAGTTCATGATCTTGCCCCGCACACCCACAAGTCCATCCCATGGTCCAATCTTCCACTGCCACGCTGGCAATTCCACCCATCCACTTCCAGTCAGGTGCAGAGGTGCAAAG